TGGTCCCTTTTTTTTTTTTTTAACTATTTTTAAAGTTTTGTTTTTTTTTTTTTCTTCAGAGAGAGAGATACCGAGACAGCACCTCCAACAGAGTCTCCAGACCCAACTAGCCTTGCATCTTGGGCATGTTCAGGGAGGTCTCTTCATGAACCTGATCCTCATGTGAATCAATAATCTTGCAGAGCATATTGCATTATCACTGTACCACCATCATCCAGCCTCTTATTTTAGTATTATAATTTAAGAATGGATGTTGTGGGGCCAGCAGGTGGCATGGTGGTTAGGGAGCTGGAGTCCCACATGGCTGACCAAAGTTCAAGCGTCAGACCAGGTGGCTTGCTCGCTCGCTCTCTCTCTCTTTCTCTGGTGAACACATGTGCTATATAGCAAGTTAAAAATGATAATAATGATAAATAAAATTAAATAGTTCTTATAAAAATAAAAGAATGGATGTTCCTATGTTATAATTTTCCCACGTAAGCCTTCCACATGGCCCTACCTTATGGAGGATGTCTTAGCAGTGCATACCACTGCAGCTGAACCTAATGTGCCAACATGTCAATTTTTCAATTGGCATGCCAAGGGAATATAATTCTTTTTTGTTTTTATTTTATTTTTTTAGGTTTTTGCCATAGGGCAGATGTACTTGCCAGAGGGAGAAAGGGAAAGTGAGAAATCACCTCCTAGGGGGGATGACCATGCCCGGTGTGGTTTTCAAGCTGCCTGGTCCAGCACTTGAATCCTAGTCGGCCATGTGGGAGTCCAGTGCCTTAACTACCACGCTACCTGCTGGTCTCATTACTATATAATTTTTATAAGGGACTTTAACAATGATGGAGTTTAATATTCAAGGAATTCCTGGAACCAATCCACTGCAGATGCTGAGGGACAGTTGTATTCTGTTTCTAGAGTTTCTGTGAGTGATCTTTAGAAAGTTTCAGTCTTAACCACCATGCTGCTATCTCACCCAAATAAATATCTATATACATTTTAAAACCGGAGTGGGATGATTTGGAACACATAGAAACATATAAAGTTGTAAAGTCAGTCTTTTCTATTTTCCTGTCCTTCTTCCTGTTTCTCTTTAACTTAGCCATTTGTTGGACTTAGTTTTCCAATTTGTTTGTGTATCTTTGTGTATTTTATATTCAAAATAAATTGGGGTTGGAGGGCATCTTGTAGTTATGACTGAATAAGAGGATTGTCAGCTCTTCTTCCTAAAAACAGTGCCAAAACAGGATAGAACCAAAAACGGGACAAACCTAACAAACCATTTCAGCATTCTGGAACCTGAACAGAGGATTACAACAGTATGAAAAGTGTTTAGGCTTAAAAATTGCTGATCTTTGAGAACAATGGTGTTTGGGGACCAGCAGTTGGCGTAATGACTGTATAGCTGGACTCCCATGTAGTTGGCTGCAGTTTGAGTCCCAGACCCAGTGGCTTTAAACTCATATCGGGCACAACTGCGTGCATGCCCAGGATCCGAGAGGAGAATGGAGGAGAAGGGATTGTGGTTGGCCATCCCCCCTGGGGGGCGATTTCTCATTTTTCTACCTCTCTGTCTCTCTCTGTCTTTCTGACGAGCGCATGTGCGCTATAGCAAAAACCTCTCCCCCCAAAAGAATCTATGGTATTTGGCCTGGGACTACTCTCATATACCGTTCTCATTCTACTTCAGGCTGTGAGGACTAATGGCTTCCCTGTGGAAATGAAAATGGGGAATAGCCTCATTCAGTTTGC